CTATACTAGACCTAACTAGTCAACTACACTACAAAAAAATTCTTCTCGCAAACACAGACGCTTCCACTTTAACCCTTTCCATGCGATTTTTATTTTTTATTAAATAATCGTATTTGCTACGCCGATTTTATGCATTCGTACCCCCACAACTAATCGATCGACTAACGAAAAACTAATGATCCTCTGCTGCCCACTGAAGGCTCGTTGGAAAGCTTATTTAAAGAGCTTGCGATTGGCGATTAAAATTTTTTTTTTTTAAAGTGATGGTCTGAGTGGTTACCGCTCCTGAGTGGAGTGGTTACCGCTTCGTGGTTAGCAAACAATAGCATAATATTGCTGTAGCAATTTCGTGATCTAACTCAAAATACTTTGGTAGATGGAAGGGATAATATGTCTTCTATTACCACCCAAAAAACACCGAAATTTGCATAAATTTCAAAAAAACTCCCTCGTTCCGCCTCGAATAAATTTCCCGTCGCTTATGTCAATCTCGAAGAAGACTTCTTATCAATAAACTAAAACCTGGAAAAACTAGACCAACAGTTTGCGACCGATTGCTAAATAAAACAGTGGAGTACATCAACGCACTGCAATCTAGCGAGTTTTGCCGTTGGTACGTATACGTGCCCACCGCACGGAAAGGGTTAATAATTAAAATTACCACTCAGTACAGTAGCAATAACATCATCATTATTCATTGCTATAATAATCAAAGTTTAACTACAGTGACACAAATAAACTAAATCAATCAATAACTCTCACTATTTTTAAAAGGTTTGTGGCCCACCTGGGAATTGTTTCTGTGGTCCAGAAGTGGGCCATGGCCCACTGGTTAAGAACCAGTTTCTTATGTTGCAAGCTATGCATGCAAAGCTCACTTTAAATCTTTCTGTACAACCTCTGGGCCTGTTGACCCTTGAAAAAGAATCACTGAACTAGACTGTGTGTTCACCATAAAAAGCTTCGTCATCTCAGGATTTTTACTTCAATTCTCCTCTTCAGAACATATTAAACAGCTAAGCTTCAATTTTGACAATTTAATTACCGATATACTTTATTAAGAAATAGGTGCCAAGAAAATTAAAAAGTCATGTAAATAACCTACTCAGTGATATACTTGCTAGTAAATTTGCTATACTTCATGATCTTCACAAAACAACTAGCTTTGCTACATAAGAGTTCCTAGTTCCTGCCCTAAGTTCTATAATCAGGTGTGAACAAAATTAAGAAAAATAGGTGACGCAAACAATTACAAAGCTGTCCATTTTTGAGCAAGTATCCAATTACATGGTAAGATATCAAGTTCCATAAAACGTCTATGAATTCAATTTCCATTCTCAAACCTAAAAGAAAGTTATATCACGGTACTCCTGTAGTAGATTAGGTTTAGGCCATAATTTTATTCCGATTTTCCATATTTTAGTTCTATTACGAGTTCAGGGACTGTCTGTGTTAGCCAAGTGAATATACCCCCTGCCCATAGGCTTCCGTCCCTTTACACAACTTGATGTAAAATAGGAGAACAAAATTAGTTACCTCCATTTGGTACACACACTTCTGGAGCGCCCTATAACACAATCTAATTAGCATAGAACACACTTAAGAAATAGGTATTTCAGGCAATCACTAATAGAAATCCGAAGTGAGATTGTAAAACTAACCGATCTAGGTACGCTGAAATTTTGCACACATTCAATAACACTGTTTATATGGAAGTAATTAGGATGATAACGTACCACAGAGCATTTCCGTATATCCTACCACTTCCTGGAATTGCATTGGAGTCAGGGAATTACTAATTGACAAAACTTCATGTGCTGCAGCAAAGGCATCAGACTGAAAAAAAATTCCTTACCTAAGTGACCGAAGTATTTTGCAAGTTGCAATTAAGCCTTTTGAACCTTTGTACTTTGCACTTATTGCATATGAATCCATTGATACAAAGGAAAAGAGAAGGGCAGTAGTTAGGCATTACTTACAGTATATCCCGATCAACTAAACATTCACACAACATACTCATACTTTTTCATTGAGAATCACCAAGTACAGAAGTGTACCATTTTGAGTAGCTTTTATTTTTTATCACTTTATTCAACAACTACGATGAGTGCAGAAATATTAAATCTAGTCAATGAACCACAAAAACCAGAAAAAACTACTGATAACCAACGCATCACAAATGTGTGAATAATGAGAACTATTTTTTTTTTTAATATACATACTTTAGCGGTGCGGAGAGTTTCAATAAAAGTGTATTAGGGCATGGCTGAAGTTTCCCGCTTCCCAGTCCGGAGTAAATTGAAGCACCAACTTAGTTCATGACAAGTATAATAAACTTACCACATGGCCAAATATCTCTGGTGCAAATAATTTTCCTAGTAGTTGAGTTTTTACTCCTCCACCAAGAAGGTACATCAATCCAAAGAAAAATCTCATACAATTTATTGCAAACTTGCCCATTTTTACAGATGCACAAGGTAGACAAATGCTTATAATACTATTGGGAAAATTGCATACTCTGCACTACGTAATATCTGAATAATATGGTAAATGTATAAAAATTTATATGAAAAAACTGCAGTGGGAAAAATGTAATATCATGGTGGCGAGAATTGTATATACAACATTTGAAAGTACAGAAATCTATAATATTCAAATCAAAGCTGTGTTATCACGTATTAGAGTTGTTTTCATTGATATTAGAGCTGGATTCGTATTTTTAATTCCTCACAGTCGGAGTTGAAATTTTCACAGGCTCTTATTAATAGTGAAAATGGACGTCAAACTTATTTGACAGAAAGTTAAAAGGCATTATGTGGACCATACATTCTTAATAACAGATAATTGAAAAGGGATTGCATTGAACTAGTTTTGTTCTATCTGAATTCAGATCCAAAATTTCCTTCAACCTGGAGTTGGGAGACTAAATCAGATTTGTTTAACCCAGAGCCATTAGTCTATGTCGTGTTTGTTTAAAGGTCAAAGGTTGTTTTACCCGAACTCCACAGCCATGTTTGAAAATCAATCAATATCCAGTCACATAAAAACACTTTGAAGATATTTTAGAATTTGTAGCACCAGAATGGAACTGCTTTCTATAACTAGCAGTCAAAAGAATGACAGATTGGAATGTCCTTATTAATTGCAGATTTCGTACTTTCGTACAGAAATTTACTTACAAAATAACGAATCAAGGACACATAATTAGCCATGCTTGGATGATAATAATAATAAAAATTGAAGACAAAAAATCAAAATGCTAGAAAAAGTATTCACAAAATATTCAGTGTTTTGGATATAGCTAACACAAATAGTGATTCTGTAAGATTGTCAATATAACGCAAAACAATTTTGCTCATACATGAAGTATGTTGCTACAAACTAAAATGACGAGAAAAAACAGTGTAAAGTAAGATGGAAGAAATGTGTGTTGATTCAAATAGGTTGAAGAAATTTCATGGATTAAGCAAAACATGGACTGCTCTAACGGTCAGAATATACTTGGACATGAAATGGACCTACAAATGATTGGCCAAACTGTTTCCATTACTCTTTTCAGATTTTCAGTATTTCAATTTAAATAAGTCACTAGATCTAGAAAAGACTAGAATATGAGCATTGTTATTCCTTTTTAACTTTTTTTGGTCCTATAAACCAGGCAGTTCATCCATAAATACCTAATTTGCAAGTGCAAGATTTTCTCAAGCTAAGCCTCATATTAGTCATTTGGTCTCCATGTTTATATAATTGATTTCAGTATTGCTCACTTGTCTATACTTGATCTGCCAAGCGAGGCGACGTGTTTCTAAAGTCAGTGCACAGCACAATATATTCAAATGACATGATGTACATTGACTTCTTCTTATTTTAAAGTTGGATAAAAATTGCACTATTGGAAGGAAAATAAGGCAATAGAGCTTACAAGAGGTAGGGATGGGCCGGGATTCGGATCCGGACTCGGATTCGAGTCGAATCCAGGCATTTTTTGGACTCGGATTCGATTTCGAGTCCACTTCAATTTTACCGAGTCCATATTCAATTCTGTTTTTACTAATTTACGCCTATGTTTGTACTTTTGCCCCTATAAATCCCACTACATACCTTGACTAGTTAAAATTCAAGGTTAGATCTGTAACAATATTCCTCGTGTGCATTATAAACATTCCTAATAAAACGACGACAGATATCCAGATAATATAACGCTTTTTAAAAACTATTGATCGCTTATAACAATGATGTTGCGCCAGTCGCCTTCAAACTATCAATCATTTTTGGTATTCATGTGGTACACAATAAAATGTGTTATTGCAATATTTTTGAGTTTTCGATTCGCGTAAAAATGAAACATGCTCTGGATCAACCAACCCACTGTGGAATCTCATCAATACCTCTTTTAAATCGAGTTTATTGCGTGCAATCCTTTCGCTAAAAAGGCAATGGAAAGCATGGAGAGTTTTAGAACGTTTACATGAACTATTAAATTGCAAGCAGATGTACCACATTGTATTAATGACGAGTGGCATTTCTCTACCTTATGCGCACATGACATAGTAAATTTACGGCTAGAAATATCTGGAATTATGGGAAAGCATTGTAGTCGAAAGCTTTTTATTTTTCATATTGACATGTAAGAATTTCTGAATAGCCGCCCAGAGTTGATGCAAGTTGGGCTGGAAATCCAGTTCACAGCCAAGGCGCACATTGACCCACGTTTACGTTTGTATTATGACCGCCAAAAAAAGAGAAAAAATATATATCTAAAATGATTCAACAGCTATCTGCGGAACCATTGGGCAAAAAATATGAACTACGACGTATGTTTGTGAGCGCACGATGCTGTAGCATGGTCAAAAACACGCTTTTCTGCTTTTCCATTATGACGTCACGGACTCGGCAGATTCGATTCGAGTCCTTGACTTATTACTCGGATTCGTCGAATCTCTGTAATGCCGGACTTGTCCCATCCCTAACAAGAGGCATGGCTGGCAAGAAAATTGTACTAATGGATTGAACATTTCAAAAATGCAAAATATTGGATAAAAAATATAAGAAAATATAAAAAAATATTTCGACAATCAAATACTTCATGATTACTTAATTAATCAGGTTTGAAGAAACTGGAACACTTATTAAGTGTTATTTAGTCTATAAGGCACTGCATTACACTTTCTTTTATTTGGTATAAGTAATAAGACTCAATTTAAAAAAGCATGATTTGGAGAGAAGAAAGAGGAGCTTCATTTCCAAACCAGCATAAAAATCACTAAAAAGTAATATATGTATTCTAATCCTCAGCCTTCATACCAATAGGGTTCCTGCCTCACAAACATAGCAAGGATAAAAGCTCCGAATGATAAAGTAAGATTGTGCCAATAAAATTGATCCAACAAATTGAGAAGATAACAGTGACAAAGTAACACCAGTGATAGAACCATGCCAGCCAAAGGAATCAATTGTCTCGATATCAACATGAAACCTGAAAAATTTGCTCGAATTAATAATAAGTTCCATGGAAATCTGGAAGCCTGGAGCCCAGGTTGTCTCATTGCCCAATCATACAGGTAATAATAATGGTGGTTATTTTCTTTGTTGGGGCCGTGATGCCCTAATGGTTTAAGTGTTGGGCTTACTAGCTATGTTGGTAATTGGTATCACAGATTGGAAACCTCATCAATAATTATTTAATTATTAAGAGAAAATCCAAATAACAAGTGAATATACTAATTTGTGAAGATTTCTTTGTTAACAATGACCCAATATGAAATATATTCATTATTCTAAATATCAAACTAAACATTTAAAAATTGAAATATCTAAAGAACCTAACATTGATTTCATTTTTCTTACCACAAAGCATTTCCAATGTCGCAAATATTTCTTGCATTCGCATTGGACTTATAATTTCATATAGTGGAAGAACATCATGAGCAACAGAGAAATAAACAGTCTAAAAAAACCAATGAGAATTAATTATGAGTGAAAGGTGAAAACATTTCATTTATAAAATGCGTAATTGATCTCTTAGAACAGCATTATTCTTACTGGAAAATCGTAGCATCATGCATAAGTAAGAGGTTTGGGTACTAATGTAGTATGTGAATCAAGATGGCGGACATCGGAATGTAGTATGCGTACCAGGTTAAGCCATAATTTCAGGTACAAATACTACGGAAGTCACTTGGCTGGTTCCTGAACTCGAATAGAAATAAAATAATGAAAATTGAAATACTACGTTCCGGTGTCCGCCATTTTGGTGTACATACTCAGAAGCGCTGAAGTTGGTGTCACTTGCCTATTGATCATGATAAAACGTGAAGAATGCAATTATTTTCACAACACTCAAGAAAAACATTTTTTAAAGAATACAATTGAATGAATATTTCACCAATTTTACAAAGTAATCGTATATTACCATTTCATGGTACAAATCTGGTGCAAAAGCCCTTCCGAATGATTTTGTTTTAACTGCACCCGTGAGCAAGTGAAGTAATCCTAAAATGAAGCTGGAATGTCCAATGGCAATCCTGTTGACTTTTTTCCAAGTTAGCATTGCTGTTAGTTTGTTTGTTAGATATTAAGTAACTGTCAGTTGAATATTAGATTTGAAATATTAAATTTAGGATTCCAAAATGATTTTAATTTTAAAGTAAATATTTTATATTCTAATTGAATATAATTTTGTTAATAAAATCTAAAAATAGCTATAAATACACATTCATGCTGGTCACTCCAACGAATAAAATTCAATTACCTCAAAGTAAGTACAGTAATATACAAAAGTAATGTGTAAATAAAAACAATTAAAAGATTCGAGTTATGGAAAAAAAAATCTCAATATGTGTTAATTTGTCATATATTATAGCAATTTAGAATACTTTAAAAAAGTTTTGGCCTTTTATATGACAGGCTTAATTGGATAAGGTTCAAAGAATTCTACATAACCTGTACCTTACGATTTTATTTTTAAATATTATTTTGCTGTAATTTATTTTTTAATGATTCACTGCAGAATATAAAACAAGAAATTTGACTATGCATATTCAAATGTAGTAAATGTTTGCATATAATGACATTAAAAAAATTTCTGCTGATGCACACATAAGCAAGAAAATAGACATGCTAACTTATAAGGTATACCAATAAAAAGATGTTAGTGTCCTATTTGACAGGACAGTTTATCAATGTTGAATAAAATTCCCAAAACACTCAGTCGAGTGGAGCTAATCACCAAGTTGAGTCTCAGTGGCATTCAGTTGATGAGGCATTTAAATTTTTGATAAATGATAAATCAAATGCAATTTGAGCCGAAAGAATGAATCAAACCTGGTACGTAAACGTATATTAGAAAATTATTATTTTGAACAGATAAACTTTCACAAATTTGGTCAAAACTTTTTTGTTAAATATTCACTATCCTATTTATTTTTACCATCTTTCCACATTAAATTGATAAAATATTCGAGTGGTTCAGATTCATGCATTTCATGTTCAGAAGTTTGTTCTGATACACATGCATCATATCCACATATTACTCTTAAATATACAAAACGGGCTAACACAGCGTAAAAAAGAAATTTTTTTTCATCATCTGTGAGACTAAAATTTTTTTCAAAACCAGATAATGTAGTTTTAGCAGCATCATATGGATTTATATCAGGTGATGTCACAGTCGCATACATTGCACTTGCGATAGGAATTGCAGCTTCATATACATAATAACTAATACCCATGTCCGAAAAATCGATAATCCCTTTTACTAAATAGTTATCGACATCATTTTGAAGTTTTTTAAAAATGAAATTTTCAAGACACATATCGTTATGTATAACACCTTTTCTTATTTGGGAAAATTCATTTTTAATACTTGAATCCTTTAATTTTTGCAAAACAATAGAACAAATGTTACGTACATTTTCATCATTTACAATATTTAACCTCACATCTTCAATATGCATATATTGTATAAGATAGTAATCATTCACACGTTTTAAAGCTGAACGTGGGTCTTTTATTTTAAACAATTCAGCAGTCAGTTTTCCAGCACACAAACCTATTTTATAGCAAAAAGATAGAAATGATTCAGATTTAAATTTAAGGTTTTTGTATTCTAAACCAGTGACATAAGACATTAAAATTACTTTTCGAACTCCATTAGAGGTATCAATCTGACCAACATAACCCCCAGTTGTACAAGTAACTGGTTTAGGAATCTCAAATTGCAATTGAGGAATTTGTCTCAATACGTCCATGATAGCTTCAGTGAGTCCTTCTCTCTTTGAGTCATTGACATTAACTATCTTCAAGACATATTTGTCTCTATGTTCCGAATTGTGACTCAAATCAACGCATTCCAAGATATAGTTAAGGTCATCATATCCACTGATTAGTTCAACTGATAAAGCTTTATAATTATAAAAATCCAGTAATATTTTTGAGATATTTATATCAGTATTCTGCATGTTCAACTTGATTTAACTAGAATCAATAATATAAAAAACAAGATGGTGATGTACAAGTATAATATTCATGAAATTGGTTCAAGTACTACAATAGCGGTCACTGCTTAAATAATGTCCAAAAAAATAAGATGTGTTATGTTTTTTTTGTAAATAAAAAGAAAGACTATATGGTGCAGAATGAAATTTTTGGCAGACATGTTTAGTTGAAATCAAACCTACTCAATTTTCAGCAAACCGGGTACGACCCAAGCTGAAAATTTGAGCTGTTGTATGAAAAATTGCATCTTTGTTTGAAGTTCTGTTACACAGTTACTACTCTGCAAGACCTTAGTTTGTATTGCAATTATATTTAATAAGTCTGATGGAATTTGTATGTATAAAATGGTAACTGACAGATTGACCAAAACAAGCAGCACAAAGACATTAGGCATCGATAAGATTTTCAGAATGATGTAAAGAATGTTACAGGATGTCGTTTGACCCAAATTTGCTGAGCTCTATATCACTATACAAATGTGCAATCTATAACATTTATAATTTTAACATTCAATGTAATAATGAAATGAATAATTTGGTTGAGTAATTTTATTACAGTATTAGGCTTCTATGATTATTAGGAAATCTCAAAAGATAAAACAACCTGGGACAGTGGGACATGTTCCTAGAATTGAATATACAAGGTCAAATAACTACTGAAATATTGGTATCTTGAATTAGTAAAACGTAGTATACACAATGCTAACATGCGCCGAACACCACGCACAATTCCGATTAACCGCACAAAATTTAACAATCAGCAAAGTCAAATCAAGAAAGTGTCGCAATACTGTAATAGGAAACTAAAAACCATTCCGCGTTCAAGCGTTTAACTCCGCGACATGTTAGAAATAATACCCTAACCAACAACACTAAAATCAAACAAGTTACAATGAATTCATCATAATATTTGTAAAACCTAAATAATGAGTAAAATACCAAATCCTGTCAGCATTTAGTAACCAAAAAATCGCCACGAAAACCCATGACGGCAACAAAATTCGAATGCCGCACCGCTGATCGGACACGTCAGTTCAAATTTGCTCATTTTTCAACTCGCGAGCGCCAACTTACGGATTCATTTTTGAACTCATTATTTCATCGCTTCATTGAATACGATTAGTGCGACACCGCGTGTATTTTGAATTGCAGTGCTTCGCTATTTCGCATTTCAGCTTGTTGGAGCGTTTTTGTAAATCATAGCCTAGAGTCGAAATGTCGAACGAATTTTATTTACGATATTACGTTGGGCATAAAGGAAAATTTGGACACGAATTTCTCGAATTTGAATTTCGCCCCGACGGTAAGAATGTTTTTTTTCTTATATCTGCCTTGTCTTTGTTGTTCACAATTATCAATAAACTTGACAACTGAAAAAAAAATGTTGCAACACTGCCTTTTCTTTACTACCGTACAGTACTAGACTAATAGGAAAGGGTAATTTGGCTTTTCAATAGGTAACAGTAACTGAGATATGTCTTGTCGTTACACTTTAACCTGAATTTCATCACTAGCTGAATTAATCTTGTTCGAATTTAAGGAACTACCACGAAAGAAATTCAGAAAGTGTGATAATATAGACTACTGATAACGCGAACGTTTCTTTAAATAAGTTTCGTGAAGTCTTTAGTTTCATTATTAGAGGTAAGGTACAACAATGTACTGTTAAATAATTGCTTTTTCAATTCAACCATTCAGGCAAATTACGCTATGCCAACAATTCAAACTACAAAAATGACACTATGATCAGAAAAGAAGCTTGTGTTCATAAAGCAGTCCTTGAAGAATTAAAAAGAATCATAGAAGATTCTGAAGTTATGAAGGAAGATGACACAATGTGGCCAAACCCAGACAGAGTCGGACGTCAGGTATTGCGTCGAAAATCTTTCAAATTCATACATTTGCAATTTTAAGAAATACAAATTGGGATGCTTCCTCAATTAATTATTGGCATTCTTTTTTGTGTTGGTAATGATGACTAATCAGCAATACATTGGGAAGATTAAACCAAAGTGATTATTTGGCTGTTGAAAGAGTATTATCTGAGAAACTTCAAAAATAGTTGCAAAGAAGGAGGTTCAGGCCAGGAAAGCATAGGCTACATAGGATAATTGAGTTCAAATGTTGTCGCTAAAATTTTTAAATTTTTTTCAGGAGCTGGAAATTGTATTGGGTGAAGATCATATTTCATTTACAACATCCAAAATAGGATCTCTGATTGACGTCAATGATTGTAAAGATTCTGATGGTCTTCGTACTTTTTATTATCTGGTCCAGGATTTAAAATGTCTTGTGTTTTCACTCATCGGACTGCACTTCAAAATTAAGCCAATCTAAATAATAGAAAGTGCTGCCTGATATGGATGAAGACCTTGGCTGGAGAAGATGTGGCAAAATTTATCGTGGAACAATGTGGGTTTGAATTCCCACCAAATACTTTGTACTGTAGTTTCTTACTTCAGAAACGCTTTTTATCCATTTTAAAAAAATTCTGGTTGATATCAATTATTATATCAGCTTATGCATAAAGTCTGATCAAATGAAAAAATAACGCGACCAGTTTGATGTGTCTCACACTTCTCACAGACTATTGTCAATACCAACTACATTTTGTTTGGAAGGTTTACACTTTCCCACTGCTTTTTCCATTAAAATGATTGTTGAAATCACAAGGTTTAGCAAAAGAGTATCTATTTCAAAATCTTCCAAGTCTAGGAAGCTCCCGTTTAATGGAGGATTGCCAGCTTGTCATCCTAAAGATTTCATCGGTTTGGCTGGTCAGTCAGATTGTTCCTACAAAGCAGCTTATGTCACATTTTTTCAGAAATGGACTAGATTAGTTTTGAATGGAGACAGTGCCTCGTGTTCAATTTGGCTACTGCAACCAAACTTATCTTAAAATTCGATATCGCTAGCATGCTTCGTTATAAGTCTGAAAAAAGATCGTTTTGGCTCAAGTTACCAGTTGATCTCTCCAATTTCAAAGTCTGAAATTGTGACACCATTTCGAAATTTTCACTCATCGCAGGTTGAACATTACTCTGGCTCAGGCACTCAAGTCTCACACTGAGAAGCTGGTTTCAAAATTGCTTTGCAAATGACAATTTCACCCTCAAATACAAACTGATTATCCCAGATTTTTCACACACCAAACAGTCTTTATAAAATTATGCATTTACTGCATTAAAAACGCAAGAGGAACTTGATAATTAAATATAAGTCTCGTCTTTAGTGATTACGATATTTTCTAGTCTAATAGCACCAAATAATACAAGTTTTGCTCAAAAAGCAAACTAAATTCACAATATAGAACCAAATTTTAAAAAGCACAGAGTTATTAAAATTAGTCCAAACATCCAACTAAATACGCAACAATGCAAAATCTGAGAAATAATATTTCAACAAGATTGCCAATGTGGAAGTGTATGCAAGTGAAGGGTTAATAGTGACAAGGACCGATATGTCATCAAATACCACACAACATATTTCTATGATTCTTCTGAAGAAGATTTCCGCAAGGGCAGTGGTAATAGGGCATAAATTATATATAGGCTGAAAATAACGACAGTCTACAGAATTCAACATAATGCGTTTAATCTCAATTACTTTTGCAACATGGCAGCAGCACTTTAACGAAGGAATTTAATTAAAGAGTGAACATAAAAAGTTAAAACTACAGTAATAATATTACAAAAGTGATCTCAATACGAATTCTTCCTGCTGTGTCTTGTAAAATAAACAGAAATGTTATCAGGCATTTGGTTGGCATGTATGAAATGAAAGAAAAGTCAGACTTATTTTCTCTTATCTGAAGAGATAAAAGAATTACATATTCTCAGAGTAAACAATGCACAAGCGATAAATTTTATCTACGCATTTTAAACTGCAAACCGTATGCGTTACAGATATATTCAGTACCGCAAATTTTAGAAATGCAGTTACAAATTTATTGTTGACGTTTCGTATTTTAATAGTTGCCGAGCTGCAGATAATTAACATCACGCAACTGTACGTTGACTGACATCGATATTTTCATTGGTAATCATTATGGAAGTTTACAACGTATCAACTTCTATCTCATTGTCTTCTGGTACATCAGAAACCTGAAAATCAATGTAAAATATGATGATTTAGTCAAGATTCAACAATATCTTGAAAGGGCATTTCTATCCAAACCTAATGCACATTTGTTACAATTTCAAATCTATGAAGACTAGCTGTGCAAGACGAGATCAGATGTCATGATTGGACCAAGTGTCAATGATAATTAGCCAGTAGGAAGGGTACTCATGTAGTGTGTGTACCAGGTTAGGGTTAGGCCATAATTTTTCTCATTTTAGTTATATTGCGAGTTCGGGGACTGTCTGTGTTAGCCAAGTGAATATACCCCCTGCCCATAGGTTTCAGTCCCTGTACACAACTTGATGTGAAGTAGGCGAACAAAATTAGTTACCTCCATATTGGTACACACACTTCTTAAGCACCGTTGGAAGAGTGTATATATATTTGTTACTTTCATTTTGCAAGCAAAAAATTTATCAATTCCTTACGTTTTTATTTCCTAATAGCGCAGTAACTTCTTCCAACGTATTTTGTGCCGACATAGTTCGTTGGAAATATTTACTAGTTTCATTCGAACGAATCTCAGACAATCTATTGGTTGATGATGAATTGTATTCAGTCTTCATTTTACCGGTCAACCAAGATACTGCGAATGACCACTGTCCACTTACTGATACTAAATAATCCTTGTTAGATGATGACCTGCACAGGAATACAATATTCAATATGAAGCAAGATAGAAATATAATTGTCACAAAAAAGAAACACAGGGAATCTGGCATTTAAGGATTCAAAGCCAAAATAATTAGACTGACATCAAAATTATGATGTTCGACCACATTTTAATGAGAAAACCGAGGTGTTCTTGTCAGATTTCACAAAGGAATTAGAGACATATTTGCGGAAGCACTGTAGTTTATGGTCTAATTTTTTTGCAGACTTATTCTCCTGTAAAACTCGTAAATCTCTTGCATGTGAGTTTTAACATGCTATTTAAGTGTGACGCATGACAAACTTACGATAGTCTATATCAGTAGGTCTCAAATGGTGGGCCGTAGACAATTTTTTTGAGGGGGCGTTGAGCTAACTAAAAATAAAAATATTGTTAGATTTGATCTTGCCTGCCTTATTTTGGATATTTACATTTCTTTATCATGTACACTCAGTCACTCACTGTGTTTTTTGAAAAAAACATACTTTCGCCTACTTATCTGTTATATGCAGAGTGATAGTAGATTGTTTAACATGTAATATATCAGCAAAATAACATTAATTTCATGTCACCTGTTCGCTAGTTGTACCAACATTTTTATACATTGGTAGCATTTTGGTTCATCCGATTTCAGAGTATTTTTAATGATCGTCAGGAGAGCTTGAGATGATTTTTCAAGAGCGAGAGACAATCTCATTACATGCAATTCATCTTCTAATGAGAGTAAGTTACTCAGTAATGTCAACAATGATCCGAGTTCATTTGCTGGTACAGATTGAATATCAGACTAAAAAAAGTGGAAAATTTATAAGCATTTTGGGGTTAAAAGTCTTGGAGGTTCGCAAAAAAATAAGCTATCAAATTATACATGCATAGGTAAATAAAGATTGTGGATAATACATAGTAATTATTATCATAGCATAGTGATTAACTCATTATATAGATTAGAAATCATGGGTCAAGACCCATGCCCACTATCTCACATGAATATGTATGTCTAATGAACAGATTCTGTTACTACCAAATATAAAAAATATTTGGGGGTAATGGCCTAGTGCAGTGGTTATCAACCGTCTTATTAAATTTGTTCCTTTGCACATTTTGTAACTTGCACAGCCTAAGTAGTTTATTATGTGATTTTAAATAAGTAATATTATAGTAATTATAACAATAAACTATAGAATACTAGTGCTATACTACAGTGAAAACAAAGCAAAATTCCTTCCAGAAAACGGCAAAATCCCTCCCCAGTTTGGAAAAGTTGGCCTAGTGAGTAACCCTTTCCCGTGCGGTGGGCACGTATACGTACCAACGACGAAAGTCGCTAGATTGCGGTTGATGTACTCCACTGTTTTATTTAGCAATCGGTCGCAAACTGTTGGTCTAGTTTTTCCGGGTTTTAGTTTATTGATAAGAAGTCTTCTTCGAGATTAACATAAGCGACGGTAAATCTCGCTTTCGTTTACGACGGGAATTTTATTTGCGGCGGAACGAGGGAGTGTTTTTGAAATTTATGCAAATTTCGGTGTTTTTTGGGTGGTAATAGAAGAAATATTATCCCTTCCATCTACCAAAGTATTTTGAGTTATATCACGAAATTGCTACAGCAATATTATGCTATTGTTCGCCAACCACGAAGCGGTAACAGTAAAGGATTTAGCGAATATTTCTATTTTTATCAAGGTTTGAAGTTTCAACTCTCAAGAAAAAAAATGCCTTTTTTCTATCCGGTTTGTGACTCAGACCACCACTTTTAAAAAAACTTTTTTTTAATCGCCAATTGCAAGCTCTTTAAATAAGTTTTCCAACGAGCCGTCAGTGGGCAGCAGAGGATCACTAGTTTTTCGTTAGTCGATCGATTAGTTGTGGGGTACAAATGCATAAAATCGGCGTAGCAAATACGATTATTTAATAAAAAATAACAATCGCATGGAAAGGGTTAAAGCATATTAGACTTAAATATGTTACTGAATAATCATAGTTTAAAAATAAAACCCACACGAAAACCTAATCAATCAGTTTGGATAGATGAGATATGGCTATAAAACCATCCTAGGCAATGAGGAAGTTAGCTCTTCTCTCGCAAAAAATCATCTACATGAGATTTAATCCTGCAAAGCCAAGCCACACTATGTAATTATTAATAGCTTCTTCGAGAGCAAACATTTTCAATTTCGAACCATTTTACACACACTCACCAGAATGATGTCAATAGCTTTGACAGAAAAGTTTTCGTTGTTGTAGGAACAATGACAAATGAAATCAGAAACAACTGGACATGAACTTGATACCTCACGAGCAGCAGATAATAATTCTTGAAGAAGTCTAGAACAGAGAAAAAGAAAATTATTATTAAAATGCATACAATGTAATATAGTGTGATTCAAAAGTGCGCGGATAATACAAATATTCAATATCCCAAAATAAAAGGGGGAAATACAAAAAAAAGCCCAAATTTATACATATTAGCAATACCAAAATTTCATTGTTTCTCTCCTCACAAAATTCATTAGAGTCTGAAACGTTTTCTGCACACTTTCATTTAGTCCTACATTTGCACCAGCAGGTGACAGGTATATAATAAACTTAAATTCGCTAAATATTGGCATCATTTCGGTGCATATATAAATATCTGTTTATATGTGGAAGCGATGACCTGGGAGTTTATTCGAGGATTCAACAACGCTGGTATCTCAGAGTAAATATCTCAGTTTCAATCCTTATGGTCACGGCCTCATCAAGTGTGTAGTAAATTGGATACGCAGCGCTAAATCAAAAATTTCAGCTTTTCCAGAGCCTTCTCAGGACTACCATCGTCATACGAGAAATCCAAAACACAAGCATCTTACCTTGACCCTACAATTCCAAATACTCCATGTTTGATTGGTTCGGGAAGAGAAATTCGTTGAATGACTTGTATTGTTTGTGGCTTGAAATTTGAAAGCTCAGGCTTTGCCTTAACTGCAAAGAAAATATAATCTTGCAAACTATATTAATCAGAACGCTGGGTTTTCAGCCTTTTCGTTGGTCACAAATTCATTGTGGAGAAGAGTCCCAACTATCAGGTTACAGTTAGGATAGGATTTCCACACTTATCTCAAGGGATGAGCCGGTATGAGAGATTGATCATATATGGCAAACTGTCTCCCACCCAGTTGGGGTTTTTACCGGATCTATGGAAGTCACAGCTGACCAGTGTTAATATGCCTCAACCCCTACAATGACAAGAGGTCAAGTATACCTTTCACACATAATCAACCCCCAAAACATATAGTCCTGCAAACCCACGCCACATAGGATCGTTGTCAGCGTTGCAATAGCAAGGGCATTCCTAATGATGGTGCGAATGAAATTATGCCATTTTTTTTGCAGGATTTGAGAAAAATTTGGACAAAAACAAAAAATTAGACAAGTGAATTGATGCATGAAATTGCTCAGTACTATGGATTTAGAATAACACATGAAAACAAAATTCCAATCGCACTTTATCGTTTCTTGTTCTTTCTTGTATATTCAATTATTGATCATGAAAAATATATATTTAACATAATCAGTCATTGTCACCTTTAACGCTAATAAGGCTCAAACAACACTCCATATTCTTTCTCTATCTCAGTATGACTATGATCAAATATAAAACTGCTTTGATAGCCGCATAACATGCGGGTTAAAAAACAACAATTTAGGCTAACAGAGAAACAAAAAATAGTGTAAAACATCTATAAATTTGAATGTCATACCTGTCCACATTGCTGACATATCGCTGTGTAAAACCAAATTAGTAAGAGCTGAATGTAGCGAACCAAATTCCCGAGATTGCATGGAGCTCCATCTACGACTCGCTGTCGTCGTATCTTGATTATCTTGTGTTGTTGTTGCATCAGACTGAAAACTGGTGACAGGTGCATCTCCACTACCCTGACCTTCAGAATAATAAATATTTTTTTATTTTTTGTGCTCGCTGTCTTCAAACAAGGTTTTGGACGAGTATTGATGTAAAAATGGATAGCTACGAAGAGTAAAACAACGAGATCCTCATGCGTCAATTTACTCAGTTGAATACGCTCTCAATTAAATGGCCTGCGGCACTAACATTGTCATGGTAACCACTCGCTACTGCCATCTTAAACTATATCTGAGAAATAGATCCTACTTGATAAAAGGTAAGTAGTGAAATGGATTAATGTTGCGAATGTGGTCAAAGTAGCATGATAGAGTCAGGCCAAACAAATTATAAAACTTATCTGAATTTACTAAATTTCTGACTTTTGGAAATTCAAAAGTTTGACCTTAGCTCTGATAATTTGAGAAAAAGGGCTTGATACAATTACTGTGAAATAATGTACGATTGATAATGCTTGATACAAAAGTAAAATTCGTACCATTGATAGGTGCAAACTGATCTCTATTCATGAGAGGTTTTGTTGCTGTTTCACCGAGTAAAAATCGGAGTAGTTTGATAAAAACATTGTGACGTAACATTGCTTCACACGCTCTTGCACTCTGGAATAATGTATGCATATTGTTATTACAACACAAACAAAAATCATATGAAATGTTTCCAAGTTTTATCAATTTAGAACATAGTTTAATAAAAAAGCTATTTAAAAAGATTGAACGACATTTAGCTAATTTCAATTTTTCATATTTATTCTGAGAAAAATAATAAGTAATAAAAAATGTCTTATTCATTTTGGAAGCCCAAGCCTCTCGTCCGGTTACCAATCAATGTCAGGCCTGTTTCAGATGTTTGAAAAACCTTACATAGCTATATGCTATCCCAAACATAAATTTAAATTGTAACTCACAAATTTGTACTTACTAAAGCACTAAAATTGGAAATGAGAGAGAAGAACTGTTGACTTTGTTTTACGTGTTCGGCTACTTCACGATCAAGTAACGCAATTAAACGAGATAAAAGAAGATCAAATCCAACTGGTTCCTGGAAAAGTAAATTAAAAATAAATGTTAGAGCTTCTAGAGTTGCAGAAATTAAAAACCTTTTCTGAGACCTAACAGAATCAAATTTCAACTTGTTTCTTCAAATTCAATAAAATTTATTTTCCAGCGGAAACCAAATCAAAAAGATCTAAAAATTGCGATTTAAAGGTGCACCCTTATCAAAGAAAGCTTTTTAAAAAAAAATGAAAACCGACACTTATATTAATCACACACAAAAAATATCTCCAACAGTGTAACAAACATATTTCCAAAAACTTGAAACAAGTTATAATAAAATAAAATTCACCTTTCCAATTTTCCTTGTAACGCATCCCTCCATAGATTTGACAAGAATGGAGCAAAACGTTTGTCTTATGTCTTCATTCGGGCATTCAAGTAAAAAAGCTTGAACATTCGGAAATCCGACGGCAGTGTGAAGTTGAGATACAAACCATATGCAACTAAATATAATATCATTGCTCAAGGTTTTATTACCAGTTGTGGTACAGAGATGTGTATAACATTGGGTAATTTTTGAAAAATGAGATTTCATTTTTTCACTTCAGACAAGACTCTGAATAAGCGGTCACTGATATGTAACAGACTCGTGTGGCAGTGTTGCCACATATTTTTCAATTTATTTAAATTATTTTTATTAGCTCGGCGGTTTGGCGCATTGTCCTAAGCTGTGGAAATATACTCCCCACCATTCCTTTGATTACCCTACATGGGTTTGCATGTTCGAACCCTGTGGGCGATAATTATGTGCGAGAGGATCACTGGACTCCTCGTCGCTCTAGGTTGGTTTACGTAACTACTCGTCGGTAATGGTCACTGATATGTAACAGGCTCGGCGATGTGGCGCATCGTGCTAAGCGTTAAAAATACGCTTGCAACCGTACCTCTGATTAACTTACACGAGTTCTTAGATTTGAATCTTGTGGAGGATAATTATGTGCAAGAGGATCGCTGGACTCCTCACCGTCATGAGATGGTTCACATAACTGTGATTGGTTAAGGCTTTTTTCACCATCAAGTCCATGCATCTGAAACAAATAACTGGCTGACTAATTCCATACACGATATAGACTGGTAACCAGACGAGAGATCGTGGTTCGCCCTATGATTAAGCTGTCTTTCCTCTCTCCCAGAATAAATATGTAAATCCTATCCTAACACGCTACTGTGATTTTTGCAGGACCTGGCATACTCACTACAAATATTTTTTTATATATAAATATAGCAACTTCCATACCAAATGGTAATCTTATGAGGGGTTTATTTAATCTTCACTTCAAATAATCTCTAGACAAGCAGTGGAAAGAATTATCATACAATATACTTGATAAATGATTTTTGTTAGGATGTGTTTCCTCTGAATAAGGCTATGTACATGCGACTACTGACACATAGCTACTATTTTTAGGAGGATCTTAATTTTTCCGGTTCGCATTGCCTACCCAATTTATTACACCAACATAGTTGGTTTTAATACTCAAACCCAATCCAGACGCTTACTATAAACAATGGAAAAGAGAAATGAGTGAAAAACAAAAGCATTTGGGAATCAATTTCTTATGGTTTTCAACATGTTGAGCATCCACACTACAATGGCTGAAAGTTTGCCTCTGAGACTGTCGCAGAATTTTTTTTGAAATGTTTTGTATATACCGTATATGTGGGAGTGCATATAGAACTGTCAATAAAACATGCAGGACAATACAAAATCATTTCTTGTCCTCATAATGCCCTTTTTTATAATGACAAACGATAATAAGGTAAACTTACGCAGGATGGCTCTTTGTTAAAATATCTTGTATAATATTACACCATTCATCAACATTAGTTGTCAGTGATCTTCGTGTCCGGAAATATGTGTTGAATAAAAACTGAGTTGATAGCTGAAGTGAAGTTACAGCTATTGCAGGAAGACCTTCAATGCAATTCTGAAAGACATTGGTAAAATGAAGTATATACGTGATTTGGTAATATAAAATGATTGAAAGTTCTTTATTGGGTGAAGTAAAAATATAAGCTTGTTAACGTAATGAAATTTAAAGTATTAGTCCATTATTGGAATAGGAAATTTAATAACTGCATCAAACACAACCTTCTAACTTTTATGTTAAAACGAAGCTGTCTATAACATTGCTCCTATTGTCTCTGTGTTTTATTTGCGATCCTTCTACCAGTACTATTTTTCATTACAGTTGAGCGCTGTGTATTTTGCTTCGAGCAAACTTTATTAAAAACAGATTTTATGGACAAAGTGAATACTGGTTTCTCTTCTGCCTAGATCTCTATATAAATTTTTTGTTGGAAAACAAGGATCTGGCTAGAATTGGTTTGATATGTTGAAACCTAGCGAGTTGAGAACCAACTAATCGCAAGTTATAGGGTGACAATAAAGGAAAAAGAAGTTTATTGAAATATCAATGATAATCCAAAACATCAGAAGTGTGGTAGAGCAAAATTGGAGCATGAAAAATGACCTAACAAGCCCACAGAAAATGCTACAAAATACAAAAGTAATATCCTCCCTCCATTTCAGCTACTGATCATGTGGAAGCAATTGGTTCACAGATTTAGTAACATATACATTCAACAATAATGGAAAAATTCTCACCATATTTACAGAAACAATCTCTTTTATAAAATCAAAATATTGCGTGCAGTAAACATCACGATTCCTCATAAATTGTAAATTTTCTTCACGAACAAGATGACTGATAGAAGCTGGCATTCGAGAAGTAAACATTCTTCGTTGATCTCCCTTCCTAAATATTGTTAAAAAATAACGAATATTTCATTGTTTGTTTGTGTCTAATTTTGGCCTTAAAAGCTTCCGAATACTCCCTCAGATTAGCCATGCTAGAACCCATCATAGATAACTATATTGGAATACAAAATAAAAACAGTGTATAATGTGCCAAAAGACTGACTCATTTAAAATTGAACACCCCATTATAAAAATCAACAAAAACAGGTATAGTTTGAGCTAGTGAGTCTGAAAAAATAGAATCCAGATTTCTAAGCATTTCAAAAACTACTCTAGCTCACACACCCGACTCTAAATGTTTGTTTAGAATGTTTGTTTAGAATATTCGTCAATCAAATATTTTTTGAGTTTGACTCCGATTATCACCATCAAAGTATGAAACTCCAACTTCAGAATCGAGAAAAAGTAAAAACTTGACTCAATAGAAATATGACAAATTTAAAACTCCAGAGCCCTGGTTTGAGATAGCAGGGAGTAATTGTCTTTGATTGACAAAGTAATAAGCAAATATGAAACTAAAGAGCTGAAATTACCATATAAATCCTCGAATAAAAGACGACTACCTAAAAATGACCCTAAAACAGTGAATTTATAAAAATTTGTATATAAGCTGACCTTAAAAAAACGCGGGAGAGATCATGTGTATGACAACCAATGTGTATGACAACTACACACAGACTGGTATCGCTGTTATAGCAAACCAAGTGCTGCTCCACGTGTGTGTGTGTGTGTGCTCTTAACGTGAGAACTCGAGTTGTAGCTTTTAGAATTAAGTTGTTAAGCATAATGTCATTTTGTTTGAGAGCGATCAGAGTTATGCGCATATAAGCCATATTAGCCCTTTTTGAGTTCTAAACTCGTGTTATATGCGAGGATATGCATATATCGAGTTAAAAGAAGTGAGCTAATATCAACATTATGAACTACCTGATTAAATTCGAAAGTTGTGACAACTTCCTATCGACTACTTGTTTCGGGCTGTTAGGTGGACTTATATCTGGTGACGAGACCAACGGTGAAACAGTTCGATGATCTTCGTGTCTGTTCAGGAAAGTGACTCTCGACCTTCCGTTGGTGATTCGAGAATGTCGAGTGTCTGTTTCAGTCATTCTTTCATAAAATAAAAGATAAGCGTTCCAGTACCGTTGGCGATTCTCGTGATATGTAGTACCTGGATTGAAAAAAAGTAATTGCAATTAATTAACGATAAGTATATATGAAGGAGTTCTTTGATGTTGATGAAATTGGTTAGGCAGAAATGACTAAGAACTGAAGAGCAATGCGCAGATATAGGCGCTCCAGACGTGTATGTACCGATATGTAGGTAACTAATTTTGTCCGCCTACCCATCAAGTTGTGTAAAGAGACTGAAACCTATGTGCAGAGGGTATATTCACTTGGCTAACACAAACAGTCTCCGAACTCGTTATAAAACTAAAATAAGGAAAATCTAAATAAAATTAGGGCCCAACCTGATACACATACTACAAGGGTACACAAGATATACTATACATATACACTCCTCGTCGCCGTAGGGTGGTTTACGTAACCGCTGGTTGGTTACTGCTTCCTCCACCATCAAGTGTTTGGATCGAAATCTTTTCCTTTTTCTCATTGTTTTACCCTATTTCACCCTGGGTGAGGTGGGGATATGGGGTTTGGACCTGAGATTTTTAAAAAGTCACTGAACTCTCAAGTTGTGAGTAAAGTCGAGTCATGAGTCTTCCATTATTAATTCATTGAGTATTCCTGTGGCCCCAATGCCATGTTTTGAGGCATCAGTGCCATGGTTAAAGGCATGTTCAATGTGATTGGGATTGACTGCTGTGGTTATGACAGTGACATTATATGTTATGTTGTGCATAAGCATATTGCCGAAAATCAATATATTGCTTGAATTTTCCTAAAACCATCCCAATTTAGGGTAACGAAAGCAAAATTTCATCAAAATTTCACCCTCACTATTGGGATATCAACATCTGAAAATAGGCATCGGCAATCTTTTAAAAGCGATAAAAAACTAAATGTTTATAACACTAGTTTGTACCTTTATCATAGACTTTACTTTCGTAGGTTCCACCAAAACATTCTTCTGCCAGACTTTGTTCATTCATATTAAATTCTTCCACTGTTATATCATTGAATTTAAACCATTTTCCTCGCCATGGGTTACTCATTTGTGTTCCCCTGATAAAAAAAGATTATCAAGTGGAACGCTATTTCAAATAGTATTAAATTTAATAATAAATTGGCAACCTAGGCTCATGATTTTAAGTTCATTCTCAATGTCAAATAGCTTGCCTAGCTTGCATTAAATCAGGTAGTGTCAAACTGTCGAATATATATAAATAATTGTTCCATAGCAGTTGTTCCCAAACTGAGGCCAGATTACAGCCCACGTAACGATTTGATATAACCCGCCGAACTAGAGAGAAATATTAGTTTAACAATTTTTGTTTTCATTTTCGTTCCAGATACCACCCACTGTTACGTCTTTATCACAGTTTAAATCCAGGTATATTCGTAACCAGTGTTCCCTCTAAAGTGTGCGCGTGTGCGCGCGTACACAGCTCTCAGAGGCTGCGCACACGCATAAATTTACTGCGCACAGACGTATTTCGATGTAATGTAACAATGTTCTCGGTTGGCAGGTTGAGAAAGTTTGTTGTTGGCCCACTTATTACCAAAATTTCTTCATTGGTTTTTGCACAAATATTAGTCATTTCCAAAAAGTGCGCACAAACCAAATTTTCTGCGCACACATACTACAAAAAATTAGAGGGAACATTGTTCGTAACACTTCTCCACGATCACTTCTAATTTTGGCCCTCGTTCAATCAACTTTGGGAACCACTGCTCTATAGGTATGATACATGTAATACTGGGGAGGTGTCCGGGCACTTGGATCATTGACTCTAAACACCATTTATCAAAACCTTGATGAATTTCATCCAAACTAAATGAACATTCAAAAAAATCAGCGCATCCAATACCTTCTATCTTTGATGAATGAATAGTAATGACCAGCACTTGCTTGACCGCTGTGAACAACGATCCCAACTAACTCGTACATGTTACAGTCAGATGTGTGGCGTGACCGACCTTAAAAGTAATATGCAAAGTTTAAAAATTTCAATAACAAAACAATGATTTTTGTACCCAAATGAAGAAAACATATGGATAAAAAAGATCTTTTTACACATGCAACAAACTAAATATTTCTAAGCAATTCATAAACCGAAATGTATCAACCCACTGTTATTGTACACTGGACATGCAAGACTAAGTAAAAATCTTTCTGTCACCTCATATAACTATGTCCTAGTTATTTAAATGTATTTACAGGAGAACAATCGTGAGAAATTTTATTTAATTTAAAATTAAATACTGGAAGGCAGTAGTTCTATTGGACTGGTAATCGAAAGCACTACTTCCTTATCACCAAGCAAAAATTTGCATCCATTTTTATTTTGAAACGCAAGGTAAATTATCTTGAAATTTAAAAAAAACATGATAATTTGAAGACATAGATATCAAAGTTTAATAAAGTCATTCATTCGTCTTACCAGATTCTTTTTGAGAAATTCCCTCCTCAGTGTACGGTGACATATCGAGAGTGAGAGGAAATTTGAAATCGTGGTCAAACTTGAGTGACCTGCTACTTTCCCAATCATAAACAAATCTCTTCAATTGCATGATTAGTATAGGAGGAAGAGTTTTAATGCAGGTACGCTTCAGTGCAGTTCTCTGGTGAACAAAAATTATAAAAAAAATATAAGAAATTATACTTTTTTAATAAAAAACAAGAGAGCAATGCTTGAATATGTAAACAAGTCTAATTTCAAAAACTTGTTCCAACCAATTAAATTAGACAGCAAAGTTTTTCAGAATTTTTTTTAAATACGCTAAGTACTTTATTATTTCCTAAATTAATAAACATGAAATTCAACTTCTATCTTAGCCTAATCTGTTAACTTTCGTGAAATAATTGATTTTGCAAAATTCCCCTTATTGTGACAAATTTATTTGGTAGTATTAACAATACAACATTTTTTTTTTAAATTTTAATTATACATTTTTAAATGCTTAACCTAGTTTTACAATTTATTTCCCAAATAACTTTTCAGAAACATTTTTTTGATCGACGAATATTCACAAAAGTTAAAAATTTTGTTTGCGAAACTTTTAATTCCGTTTACTTACATTCTAATGTAGGATGTGTTAATGTTCAACATTTTAAATAGGCCAAATTGTTATAGATGCAAATAAAAAAATTATGTTACAATTCAACATATTATTCAAATTTTTCAATTTCGCTTGTTTTCAGGTATTTCAGTGGTCCGAAATATAAAGAGGCGTTGAAGGCACTCGACGTCACCCCGTCTCTGAAAAAACACACAAAACGTGCCTTGGCCTGTTTGTAGCTTGCCATATCCTAATACGCGGCGGGAGAGTTGGCTACTTTTCTTGTATGAAGGTAGGCGAGCTCAAACAGGCCAGGGAATATGAAGACGAAGGGTTGATCCAAATCGTAGTGGAGGAGCAAAAAATTAAGGACGAGATAGGTTTTCTCACAATGTCACGAGAAGACTACCAAATGTTTTTAAAGGTAAGAAAACTTCATAAATGCATTCGCTTCCATTCGACTATAATTTTATATGTACATACAACGTAAATTAACAGGATATATTCAATCATGGAACTCTACAAAGTATACCGTAATATTCAAATATATGTAAAATACTGTCGATACTACAAAATATATTTAACTATCGATAATCATTTCTATTTTTATTTTTAGCTGGTCAACACGTTTAAAAATGTAAACGAAAGAGAAGACACGGAATACGCATTATCAACCTCTTCCAAGGAAAAAATGCGTGTGGACAAATGCGTAAGATCCTCACTGGCGAAAGTATTTGGTGAAAATATTAGCATTACTCTGACGAGGGAAACCCTGGCCTCAAGTATACCAGAACACCAGCAGAGGGATGTGGCCAGGGCTATGGGCCACTCATTAGAAGTAGCCCGTAAAAATCATCATTTACTGCACAAAGGGCAAACAGATCCGGTATTTCCCGCCCGTCTGATAAACCCTCAACCTCCGGAATTTCCGAAACACACCTACCATCCCCCTCAAAATACCAAACGCCCAAAAAAAGAAAAGCGCGTCCAGATTTTGTATCTCCGAGGACAAAAGCAATTAGAGCTACAGTTCCTCGCAAGACCTTAATATCCTCAAGTGATAGGATGTGGTTGTATTTCCACGAAGGAGTCAAAGGATTTCTTAATTAAAGATGAAGAATCTCTTTCTAGATCGCAAATACAAGAGATTGTTAAAGAGAGACCAAATTTGGCTACATTTAAGAACTAGAAACAAGTAAGAGCCCGCAAAAGGAAACGGCACCTTTGGTGGTACGGGTAGAGGAAGGTGAAGAAGAAACCGAAGAAGGAGAAAGAAACTTGATATTTGCTTTTTTCCCGGCTGTGGCAAAATACTTCGGCGGCAGAAACGAAGACATTTAATGCAAGCACACAATATCCCTGAGTCCGAAGTCGAAAGGTATATAATAATTTTATTTTATTTAATATTGTAGTAAGAATTCTTTGTCTTCGTTCTGGACGATTATTATTGCTGAAATCCATTTTACCGCTTCTTGGCTATTCAAATTTCGTTTACTGACTATTATTATTATTGCTTCCTGTCATTCTGTTTCGTATGCAAATATTTACATCATATTTATATTATTCAATTCTACAGATATCTTTACCGTCAAACCGGTAAAATAGATTATAAAAAATATACCAGATGCACCATCTATCATACAGTTAACTTGCGAGCAACTTTGAGACGACATCTGAGGACCGTCCATAAATTACGAGGAGAGGAGTTGGACGGAACATTAAGAAATATGACGCGAGAGTCCATATACTATGATGTGAGTATACGTTTTCATTATTTCATAAGCACATTCATACATACATACACACATCCCTATTGTACAAGAAACTGAATATTTTGATGTTACTTTCTTTTCAGGTACTCCAAAAGTATGAAGCGGCTCACCAAAAAGGGGTTATCAACCAAAAAGCAAAAGACGCAAAAACGGCAAAATACCCAGTGAACGAGCTTAAACTGTATTTCAAAGGTGGGACTCCTACAACTATACACTAGCTACTGGAGACGAACAGCGAAAAGTCTCCGGCCCTAAGATACCGCCATCTTATAGCCATTAAATACTTCTGTAAATGGACGGTGTTTAATGGCTATACAGTAGCTGGTGTAGATTTTGAGAAGATCCGTGATGGGATAGATTTGGCCCAAGCGTCTGCTAGCAGACAGAAGAAACAGAAAACATCCCTAAAAAACGTTACGGACCAGGCACGGATGGAGAAGCTATTGGGACCCGTCATTGAGTAAGTACTTTATTATTTCCTAAATTAATAAACATGAAATTCAAATTCTATCTTAGCCTAATCTGTTAAGATTCGTGAAATGATTGATTTTGCAAAATTCCCCTTATTGTGACAAATTTATTTGGTAGTATTAACAATACAACATTTTTTTTTTAATTTTAATTATACATTTTTAAATGCTTAACCTAGTTTTACAATTTCCAACAAAAAAATAATTTATTTCTCAAATAACTTTTCAGAAACATATTACTCGACGAATATTCACAAAAGTTAAAAATTTTGTTTGCGAAACTTTTAATTCCGTTTACTTACATTCTAATGTAGGATGTGTTAATGTTCAACATTTTAAATAGGCCAAATTGTTATAGATGCAAATAAAAAAATTATGTTACAATTCAACATATTATTCAAATTTTTCAATTTCGCTTGTTTTCAGGTATTTCAGTGGTCCGAAATATAAAGAGGCGTTGAAGGCACTCGACGTCACCCCGTCTCTGGAAAACACACAAAACGTGCCTTGGCCTGTTTGTAGCTTGCCATATCCTAATACGCGGCGGGAGAGTTGGCTACTTTTCTTGTATGAAGGTAGGCGAGCTCAAACAGGCCAGGGAATATGAAGACGAAGGGTTGATCCAAATCGTAGTGGAGGAGCAAAAAATTAAGGACGAGATAGGTTTTCTCACAATGTCACGAGAAGACTACCAAATGTTTTTAAAGGTAAGAAAACTTCATAAATGCATTCGCTTCCATTGGACTATAATTTTATATGTACATACAACGTAAAATGACAGGATATATTCAATCATGGAACTCTACAAAGTATACCCTAATATTCAAATATATGTAAAATACTGTCGATACTACAAAATATATTTAACTATCGATAATCATTTCTATTTTTAGCTGGTCAACACGTTTAAAAATGTAAACGAAAGAGACGACACTGAATACGCATTATCAACCCCTTCCTAGGAAAAAATGTGTGTGGACAAATGCGTAAGATCCTCACTGGCGAAAGTATTTGGTGAAAATATTAGCATTACTCTGATGAGGAAGATGACGGAAACCCTGGCCTCAAGTATGCCAGAACACCAGCAGAGGGATGTGGCCAGGGCTATGGGCCACTCATTTTAAGTAGCCCGTAAAAATTATAATTTACTGCACAAAGGGCAAACAGATCCGGTATTTCTCGCTCGTCTGATAAACCCGCGACCTCCCGAATCCCCCCCCACCCGAAATACAATCTGACACTGATGAACCCTCAACCTCCGGAATTTCCGAAACACACCTACCATCACCCTCAAAATACCAAACGCCCAAAAAAAGAAAAGCTCGTCCAGATTTGTATCTCCGAGGACAAAAGCAATTAGAGCTACAGTTCCTCGCAAGACCTTAATATCCTCAAGTGATAGGATGTGGTTGTATTTCCACGAAGGAGTAAAAGGATTTCTTAAAGGTGAAGAATCTCTTTCTAGATCGCAATTACAAGAGATTGTTAAAAAGAGACCAAATTTGACCACATTTAATATAAACTGATGGAAATGCTAAAAACCTTAAAAAGAAAAATGAAACCTTTTCAACAATCTCTCGTAATTTGCAAAAAATCTAGAAAGAGGTTTTTTTGCCATTTTTAAAAGTTTTAGCTTTTTTAAGACAAGAGTTTTTTGCGATGTGGGCCAATAACTGGCTTTTTCCTCCAATAACTTTTTTTCAGCACAAGCAAATACAGCATTATTTCAAACTTATATTAGCATTGAAATTCTGCAGTCATTGGCATATTACACATGTCGATATCTTAAGTTGTTTCAAAGTTATACGCAAAAAGGTCTCTTTTTCAAACCAAACTGGAAGGACCAGAAATTTTGACAATTTGACATTTTCTGAACGGAAAATTCGACATTTCGACAACAACTAAAAATCGACATTGCGACAAGCTATCTAAGCTAATCAACAGTGCGACATTCTTGGACAGAAATTTTGACAATTCGACATATTTAGACCAGAAATTTCGACATTGTTACAAGTCTGTCGCAATGTCGAAAATTCCGAAGTTACTTCGCATTTGGGAATATATTTAGTTTTAGAAGGTAAAGTTTTTTTTCCTCCACATGATAGTGAAAATTTTATTATTTATTGAAAGAGAGGCTTCTTACGAACCCATAGACCCCAATTTGAACACTTATGAAGTCATTTTCAAAAAGTTATGGCTTTTTTAAGACAGAGTTTTTTTGCGAAAGCTCCAATAACGGGCTTAGGACCTGTTGATACCTCTTAACTCTACAGCGTTTGTGACACTATTTAATTTATAAAACATGTTAATTCATTTCAGATATATTGTATCGTACGAAGTAAGTAATTCAAAACAATATTAAAAATGTCAAGACAATACCAAATGGATTCTGATGAAGAACCCCAAATTATTCATTCGGGGGAAGAGGAGCTGTCAACCTCTGAAAGCGAACTAGAAACAAGAAGGAGCCCGCAAAAGGAAACGGAAGCGGAAACAGCACCTTTGGTGGTACGGGTAGAGGAAGGTGAAGAAGAAACCGAAGAAGGAGAAAGAAACTTGATATTTGTTTTTTTCCCGGCTGTGGCAAAATACTTCGGCGGCAGAAACAAAGACATTTAATGCAAGCACACAATATCCCTGAGTCCGAAGTCGAAAGGTATATAATAATTTTATTTAATATTGTAGTAAGAATTCTTTGTCTTCGTCCTGGACGATTATTATTGCTGAAATCCATTTTATCGCTTCTTGGCTATTCAAATTTCGTTTCCAGACTATTATTATTATTGCTTCCTGTCATTCTGTTTCGTATGCAAATATTTACATCATATTTATTTTATTCAATTCTACAGATATCTTTACCGTCAAACCGGTAAAATAGATTATAAAAAATATACCAGATGCACCATCTGTCATAAAGGTAACTTGCGAGCAACTTTGAAACGACATCTGAGGACCGTCCATAAATTACGAGGAGAGGAGTTGGACGGAACATTAAGAAATATGACGCGAGAGTCCATATACTATGATGTGAGTATACGTTTTCATTATTTCATAAGCACATTCATACATACATACACACATCCCTATCGTACAAGAAACTGAATATTTTGATGTTACTTTCTTTTCAGGTACTCCAAAAGTATGAAGCGGCTCTTCAAAAAGGGGTTTTCAACCAAGAAGCAAAAGACGCAAAAACGGCAAAATACGCAGTGAACGAGCTTAAACTGTATTTCAAAGGTGGGACTCCTACAACTATACACCAGCTACTGGAGACGAACAGCGAAAAGTCTCCGGCTCTAAGATACCGCCATCTTATAGCCATTAAATACTTCGGTAAATGGACGGGTGTTTAATGGCTATACAGTAGTTGGTGTAGATTTTGAGAAGATCCGTGATGGGATAGATTTGGCCCAAGCGTCTGCTAGCAGACAGAAGAAACAGAAAACATCCCTGAAAAACGTTACGGACCAGGCACGGATGGAGAAGCTATTGGGATCCGTCATTGAGTAAGTACTTTATTATTTCCTAAATTAATAAACATGAAATTCAAATTCTATCTTAGCCTAATCTGTTAAGTTTCGTGAAATGATTGATTTTGCAAAATTCCCCTTATTGTAACAAATTTATTTGGTAGTATTAACAATACAACATTTTTTTTTTTAATTTTAATTATACATTTTTAAATGTTTAACCTAGTTTTACAATTTCCAAAAAAAAAAATAATTTATTTCCCAAATAACTTTTCAGAAACATATTACTCGACAAATATTCACAAAAGTTAAAAATTTTGTTTGCGAAATGTCGTCGCAATGTCGAAAATTCCGAAGTTACTTCGCATTTG